TGCTGTCTTTGATTTCTCTTGTTTTTGTATCAAAACTTTGCTCATCTCTCAATAAATCTTCTCCAAAGAATTGGTAATGTATGCCCACAGTCTTAGAGTAATATTCAGATTCACAGCACAGATAAAGGGACTAGTCAGGAAGATTCAATCATGTGTTTTGATTCAGTGTTTGTCATCATACTTTTTTTGGTTCATAACTCACGGGGAGGAAAGGGGAGGGGGCCTAGAAAAGTAAGATAGAACGGGAGTATCTCGCTCTGAACTCACAGTATCGGTGATTTGTCGAAAATTCTATGAAACAGCAATTTCTTAAAATAGTAAAGTATACAAAGACAGCACGGACAGTTGATATTGATTCCGATTTTAACGTTATCACGGGATGCATTCCACAACACACGCAGCTAGCTACATAAAGCATTTCGGCCTGGAATTTCACACCTCCAGTAAGTTCAACTTACTGATAAGCTACTTATACCAGCTCTCTGAAAGGCAACTGGGAGCTTTGGTTGGGTTTAATTCTGGGAAGTATTGATTACATGACCACGCAGAAATTTTCCGAACATTTTACGTCAGTATGGTGGACCATGAACTTAAGCTAAGGTTAGTCCTAGAAATATCGCTTATATAACCACAAAGAGTTTTTCCGAGCACCGTTTGCTTAAGAGTTCTCATTAGCTACATGAACACTCGGAGCTTTGAAGGGGGTCGTTCCTGAGAAGTGTTGCTTATATGATGCATAAGAAATTTTCCAAGCATTCTTCGCTTCATCATTCTCTCTATTATCGGAGAGGATGATGGAGTGAAGAATGTTTGGGAAATTTCTTAATCATGCATGAGCTTGACTTTCAATTTTGTTGAAATACCAAATTCAGAATGTGTCTATTATATGTAGCTAGTTTAGCAGCAGTAATAATGTACAATAATTGAACATATCTCTGCTTGATTCTCATTCTAGAGTACCATACAATGCCACATATTTGACGACAGAGCCAAGCGGTTCTGGCTTCTCGAACTGGATGCAGACTAATATAGCAGCGGCAGTCGCAGATACCGGTAGCGTGGATGAAATTCATCGAGGAGCAATGGAAGATGAAGCGCAGCGGTCGTTTGACGTCAGTGCTGTGAACTTTCCAACGGATCTGGAGAACGTGGCAGTGCCCAATAAGCCATTTTTAACGCCCTCAAGCATGGCTAATGTTATCCAGAATGATGAGTTACATCATCTTTCTAGGAAGGAACCAACATTCGACAAATTTTAGGACGGCGAGGGATGCGCTTGCGTGGTACACATATTCGGCCGCTTTTTATGCGTTTTTGCATATATGTAAATTGCAAAAACGCATATTGGGAAGAGGCTGTCTGTG